GAACAGGTGGCATGGTGAAATGCCAGTGACTCGATCACAATTATTTGAAAGAATGCGACGAGCGCGAGAGGGAGGGAGAGGGGGAAAAAGTGAAGATTCGAAATTTCGAAATTTCGAATTTCGAAAAATTGTGCGTTTGTTTGTTTGTTCATTTACGTGCTAGGTATATGTCACCCATCACACTCCTGCTGGAGCTTAAGCACAGGTGGGACGGGGCTGGATAAGGTTGACTACCATAAAGTACGAGTGCCTCGTCCCACCTAAATGACTGGACCACCTCAGACTTCACTTATGTGTTGAATAATGTCAAGCCCAACCGTCCAGAGAACTCCCTTTTGTCGCGCCAAAGCGCAAATCCCTCCTCAGTCTCGACCACCACGCGCTCGAGCTCTCGACATCCTCATTGACTTCGAAATATTAATGTAGTCCCAGATCTTATCGTTGCTCTAGTCTTGCACCTTAATATCATACCATTGGGTTGCTGTCGTCATCGGGGATTTATGCAATCCCCTCGGTGTATATTCCCTTTTTTTCCCTTTGTACACGTCCTATTTCCATCATAAATTTATTCATCAAGGCATGTGTAGGTAGGTGATGTGAAGAGTATGGAGGTGGGTCGCAGGTGTAGAATCAGCTGAGAAATGCTTCGTCGCAAATATATCAGGATTTTGAGAGATATTATTTGTTTGAATACGACCCCGAAACAGACCTAAATCCATTCGTGAGTCGTATGTTGGTAGTGATGAGTTTTTGTTCGACTTTCTTGCTGTTGTGAAATCTCTACCGACTGATCTTTCAACGAAAATACCGAGTACAGCTCCTGCAAGCCGAAAATTCATCAACAATAAATTCATCAACAATAAATTCATCACACCCTTTTTCCTTGCTGAATGTCGTCTCTGGGAGAATATTTCAATCCCAGGTTCGTAGAGGACACCGCTGACAGGTGTTCAGCCTGCGTCCTCCGGCACTGCAGAATTGTGTGTACCTCTGAGAATTCACACTCTGCCTTTCTAGCCTCCTTCCAACTCCTTTCCGAAAGTCGTACCAAAATGTCAGAAAAGTCTTGACAGAGCGTGATCGGATTGAAACTCTTAAACATTGACGGGAATTTTCACTGCCCTGCATCTAATTACCTTGCTAATTACAGCTTAACTGCGACACGTATTTCCCGGATATGCTTTGACCCTCCAGTCGAGCTTTGTTCACCGTAGTATTTTTTTAATTAATTTTATTGTCCTGTCTGAGTCTATGACTATGTAGGACATGCAGGTCCTCTCTGCCTAAAGGCCAAGGATACCTATACCAGTAGTATATCCCCTCCTATGCCTCTCATACAGCTCCCCTCAAGCAGTACCACCCCTCATAAGTCCTCATTCGATCATACACTAAGAGGAGTCCTTAGCCCTTCATTATCTCCCCTCTCCAGCCAACGAGACGATGGCCATTTGCAGGTGAATGGCAGCCGGGAAAAATCGCAAAACCCACTGGGTGCGGAGCTCTCCTAATACCGACATTAGGACTAAATCCGAAGACATAGTGCCCCTTCTGAAGCGTTCGAAGAGGCCGGCCAGCTGGGCGCTGCAGACTTATGTGTACCTCGGGATATCCACCCTCTGCCTTTCTAGCCTCCTTACAACTCTTTCCCGAACATCGTGCTGAAATGTCAGAAAAGTCTAGATAGAGCGTGACTGCTGCATGGTAACTTAGCCCAACATCTTTTGTGTCGTCCAGGGCGCTGGGGAGTGCCGTTGACTCATCGACAAAAGAAGTCCTGGCTAATTAGCGGAAATCTCGGTCTTGGCGCCCACAAAAAATACAAAGTTGAAAACTCCTCGAAAATATCGGTCCCAGCATGCTCTTAAGAGACCTATTCCCCCCTATCGCTCCACATTTCAGCCGCCTGTTCTTCCTCAAGTTGTTTATCCCATTAGAGCAACAGTCCCCCATGAGCCAAGACCCAGGCTTTGTATTTTTCGACTTGATTTCCTCCTTGCGGGTATAAATAGCGTCGTAAATATGTAGTGAGAGATGGCTGGAGGTTAATGGGGCAAGCTCCTGCATGCAATTGGAGCCACTTCTTTGTTGGTCGTCGAGGCAAGATGATGCGTGGCTAGAGGGAGGTTGAGGACTCAGATGAGAATGATAAGGCATTGTCGAGAAGTCGTCAAATGGAGATATGATTGAAGTTACTCTCGACTTTGATTCGGATGCGATTCTTCATGGCTATCCCAGATATGTAGAGCATATTGAGCGATTACACCGACACCACTGGAAGGTGAAGGATTCGTCTTTGCCGGCCACCGCAGCATTAATCACGGTTAGAAATGGATTCGATTTCACCCATCTATTCTCTACCAATAGTGCCCTTCCCTTGGGCACTATTTCATAGATAGCTGGAGAGATCTTTACTACCCTAATAATACTCAATGTTGAATTATAAGAGCGTTGGTCAAACATGTTTATCCCTGTACCTTAACATAACGGAGTTAGGGTTGTGATTATTATTTGTATAGGAGTAAAAAGGGTAAGGCGTTTGGAGATCTTATATACCCTGTATTATTAGTTCCATATTCGCGTGTAGATGAGCCTAGTTGTGGAACGTTGGTACGAGCTAGGCTGCAGCATTCTTAGGGAATGCTGAGACTGTTGTAACAATACACGTTTGTTTAACCCTATACTTTATCGAATCTACTTCCAGCCACACTGTTATATCCATCTAAAGGAATCATAATCTAAAACTCAACCACAAAAAGTAGTGAGTTCAAGCTATATCCATGTTGGTGGCCACCCAAAGGACGCCCCTTGATGGGCCGGAAACCCGCCCAAGAAATTCGACTTGGGAGAATGAGGTTGAAAGCTATTCATGCCACACCATCTGGTTAGTGTCGGAATACTTAGATGGTAATTTATATCACAAGCTTGATGTAGCAGTAATAATTATTGTACGTATAAAAATGATCTCTCTCCCCCCTGTCTTCCTAGAAGGAAACATCTATAAACCGTAAAACCCCCTGTCTCCTAACGCCATTCCCAAACGGGTACCTCATTACTCATCAACACAATTAGTCATTAGTCCAAAGGAAATACATATTGATCATTGGATCGTTAAGTCATTAAACAGTTAGACATGTAATGGCAAGATCCTAAAGGAAGCAAATCTGCTATTCCCGAGGTTTACAAGTGGTAGTTGAGTTCCATATTGCGACTTAGGAGATAGACAGGTATCAGCAAGTTGAGTAATGCGTGAGGTATAAATTTGCCAAAAAGGACTGAACGAAAGAGCAAAAAATTGAAAATCGACAGCATGATGATCCAGGCAGACCATTTTTCCAGCTTTTTACTATGGGAATAACCTATTAATTTAATCTCTGACTCGTCTTTGAACAGTCGATATCAAGAGTATTTTCAAATTAAATTGTCAATTTTCCTCGACAACTAATCTAGGAAGCGGAATGCGACTGAATCTCAGACTGGTCTTAAGTATTTCCGAAACCTAATACAACTTGTGCACATGAACTTCTAATAGGTACCAGATTACTGCTGTCCGAAAGCCAGCCTTGGGCATGCATGCGTACTTAATCTCTACAGCTCATGCCCGAGGGTCACACGTATCGCGGCCTCAGGCTGTACTGTTTAAGCCTCGACAAAATGGGTTCAGCTAGATTCATCGATGGGGGTTAGAGGCGTTTCTAGGATAGTTGACAGGATGAGCGAGAGAGTAAACGCGGAGGACTGTGAAGTGATGAAGCTTTGACCGAGTCGCCGACGCCTGGTTGAGTGTCTAGAGAGGCCTTGTCCTGAAATGGCAAGAAGCTGAATCGTGAGATGCTTAGCGTCAGGTGTGTACAAACCTGGTGCATCTCATTACCAATCAATTCCGCATTGACTTCATAATCATCTACACCATCGTGGGGCAGTGCAAATCCGTCGATCGGGCCGGTAAGGCAGGTCGAGATACGAAGAAACACGAAGAGAATCGGTAAACGACCTCAAGAAAATATATACTCTTATCGCTTGCGACTACGCGATTGAGTCATAGCCATTTCCTATGGCTCGTAGACCACTTCCGCCTTAGCCGACGTGCCAACGCGGCCGCATCTTATGAATACAAAACTGATTAACACCTACGGTCCTGGGAATGGCGACAGTCTTTCACTATCCTAGACTCAGTTGAGACTTTTGTTAAAATCTAATCTAATCTAATCTACTCTGGAAACGGTATTTGGACAAGAATAGCAGCTGCCCCATAGTTACTGGTAATACGCTAGCAGGCAGCCCTGGGATACGTGGCTATCCCGAAAACTGGAGCTTTCAGATCCTTACTCGTCTTCTTTGTCATTGCCTTTTCATAATTTCAACACTCATCCAGGAGATTGAGGATTTCCAACGACTCAAATTTCCACTTGTCTCAATTCAGTGCATAGACATTGGCGATATGTTGCAATTTAATGCTATTCCAATTTGAATTAAGATTAAGGCTCCATTGACATTGGGAAATATTAGCCATTTATCACCTAACAACTAAATCTATTGTTCTCTCATCTCCGTGCTCCCCTCGAAAATAAGGCCGACTCCTCCTCTGATACCAAGCAGTTCTCGCCTTGGTCATTCGAACCAGTGCCAGTGCTTGGCAGTCGTCCTTGGTGGACCTAGAAGAGCCAAGCAGCGACTGATCATGTCAACTCCTTCACTCGAATGGCAATCCTTTTTCATTTGAATGAGCAGCGTCGTCGTGTATTCTTTTAATAGATGTCATGTACGCAGAAGCCTATTATTTTCATGCTCTCGGAGTTTTGGGATTCTATAAGTATGGCCTTTCCCTCCTCCTCCTCCTCCTCGTTCAAACATCGCACTGCCCGATAAGCTGTACCATTCAAGTTGAATCCATCTTCATCTTCTCCACATTCTTCGTGTCGTTGTTCAGCCGTTCAAAGTAGATATATCGTGGCCATACACTTCTGAACCAGAATAATACCGAAGTCGAGAAAGTTTTCACAATGCAGCTCTTCCGTTCAGCCTTAGTTGTCTCGCTATCGCTGCTTTCAGTCTCAGCCAACGCCCTCAGTGGTGTATATAAGTGCCCTGGTCTTAAAGATGACCTGGAAGCGAAAGATGTGGCAGAGAAAGCCGACAGTATTACTATTGAACCAGAGATGGCAGATTGGGGTGACTTTGAAGAAAATGGCATTCAGTATAAAAATGTTCTTTATTCTGTCGTTGAAAATGGTGAAGGTTCGTAGATCTTTTCCCAAACACCATTATAGATCTTCTCGCTCAGATTATCCAGGAGCGAAATATATTTTCATCAAGGTGAACAAGAATAAAGATGTGGTAAGAGTTGGTGTCCATCAACCCTCAGAGATGATAGAATGCGAGCATATACCAGCATAGGCACATGGTAATAAAACCTCACCACTCAAATAATTGTTTCAGAAGAGTCAGCGAGATGCTGAACATAAAGAAATTTTTATTTTTCGTTCCGATAAAATGGAATTTAAATTTGAAAATAGTGCAAATTTATCGAATCATTATCCACTTGATCTTTCGTACGTCTGAGGTGGGTGATTGCCCAATGAGGAGCGAGTAATATGCTGCCTGATGGGATTATTCATGCTCAGGAGTGAGTCATTTATTAGTCATTTCCAATTCGATCTATGAGCCAAGATGCTGCCCCTTCTAGTTCAAATAGACTGCGTTACGTACTTCTCCAAGTTTGACGCATAAAATGCCCCGGGTATTGGCTATAGTGGAGGAATTCTTTTAAATGACGGCCGGGAGTCTTCTTTAATTTATTGTTAGAAAACATAGTGTTGAAATCTAGACATACAAGACCGAACTGCACGCAGTGCGGAGTAGACGAAGACTACCCATCTTCGATGGCTATCAGCTTTGGTGAGGTCTAGGTTGGTAATGATCTCGGTGATGGGAATGTTATTACATCACGTTGTGACAGGCTTTGTTCGGATTGGGACTGGTCACTAGGACCACTCCGTCTTCGAGTTTAGGCTATGGCTGAGCAACGCTCACGAAAATGTGAATGGGCCGCTAAGGAGGTATTAAGGGTTGCACGTGCCAGATGGTAAGTATGGTACAGGAGAATAGATGAGCCGGGAGGAAAGGATGTTTCTCAGGTGGACAAGGAAACGAGTTATGACTAGTCTATACAGAGCATATGACGGATGGGAGAGTACGTGGTAGGTTGTCTCCCCAAGGAAGAAGTTATTAATTCCTATCGAGTTATTGTCTTTAAAGCACATCTGAATTCATTAAACCCTTACACACGTAATCAGAACATAGATTAAAAATTAGATGTAGATTGAAACCTAGCACTTCTAACAAACAAAATATTAGTTCAATAAAACCAAAAACCCCACTGATCCTAATCTTTTATCTCTGATCCTGAAATCCCCAATATCTTACGATTCGTACAGTATTGACTTGACGGTCAACGTTCACTTCTATCATTCCAGATAAACCTTCAGAACTTTAATACATAACACTAGACGTAGCTGGCATCTAGTTATTCAGTCAAAGCCCAGTCATATTGGGTAATTTTTGGTTTGCTCTACATGATCTTATGAATCACAAACTTCACAATTTAGATTGTAAATATGTAATCTTATAAAATTGGGAGGCCTTCTATATCTGTATGACTGTAGAGAAGACAAGGAAATTAGCACAGTGGAAGGAGGTCAGATAGAATGAGAAGCGATAGTATTGTATTCACGAGAGTGAGATGGACTAAAACTACTAAGTACAAACTTTCTCCACGCGACTGATCTGCATGAGTAGCGTTATCGACGCGAATCCTAAGTTTGGAGGGCAAGACTGAACACCTGTACGCGGTGTCCTCTACGAATCTGGGAGTGAAATATTCTCCCAGAGCCAAGTTCGGTCAAATTTCGCAATATCAAAGAAGTTGGCCCACGAGGCAAAAATTCAAATTACTCCACCATGTCAATCTTTCACTCCCAAAGAGTCCGATTCTCAACTAAGCTTCATCAAGTCTACAAGTACGACCTAGTACATCCTCGTTTCAATGACCACACCTCTCGTCGACTTTCTCTGGCCTCAGCCGGTCACCAAATACACGCCCACGCCGATATTTATACCCGACGGAGGAAGCAAAGCGTGGAGCACAAATCTGGCCGATAGATCTTTGGGATGGACGTGAGATGAATCAGGACAAGTTCACAAGATGATGCAGAAGAGGGATACGTTTTCGACGGGCGTGGAATTTTGAATTTTGGCAAGAGTTTTACGAATTGGGCTTTGTGCGCGCCAAGACTTCGCTTGCGAGAGTGCAGCTGACACTATAAAAACAAGCAAACGATGGAAGGTGTTGTGGTCCGCCTCCTGGTGATGTTCTCTGGTATGGTTTGAGTAGCCTGGGCACCTACTCCACTTGGGAAGGAGACATCTCAGATTACATTTCGCGCAGAGAAAAGTTGATGGATGACAGAGGCATGTCTGGATAACTCAGGGTTTTTGAGACGTTCCCCTGGGTGGGTATTCACGGATGAGGGTTGACTTGGGGTGAAGAAAAAGCCACCGTAACTTCGCAGTGGTACTTGCAAATGAAATCCGAGGCATGAGTGCTCCTATTATAAACTGAGTCATCTTTTCTGTACTTTTCTCTGATATTGTGTCATAGCTAGATAGCTGCATACGCAATTAAAATCTGATGCAAAAAAAAAAAAAAAAAAAAGAATCTTAAGTTTGACCTTGACTATCTCGGCTAGCTCTTATACCAACCAAACACACCTTGTCGTTTAACAAATCTGCTTGTATTCCGAGAATTATGACCACCGAATCCTTAGAACATATTTTATCGCGTACGCAGCTATCTAGCTATGATACAATTTGAGAGAAAATATATAGAACAGATGACTTAATTTAAAAACATAACACTTAAGCCTTAGATTCCATTTGCAAGTACTACTGCGGAGTACTGTTAGATTTACCTTCATCCCAAGTTAGCTCTTGTCCGTGAACACTCACCTAGGGAAACTTATCAAAACCCTTAAAGTACTCAGTCATGCCTGCATCTTCCAATAACTTTTCTTTGCGCGAATTTGGCCTGAAGCATCTCTTTCCCTAGTGGATTAGGTGTCGAGGCTTCTCAAACTTTACCGGAGAACACCACCAGGAAGTGGACCACCGAAATTTCCATCGTTAACTTTTTAAACATATTTTAGTATGAATTCAGCTGTCTAGCACCAATACATGATCAGTGTTATGAATTCCTGTTGGGTGACTCTTATGAAGTGAGGAACACTCATACTATGGATCTCATTTGTTAACACCACTCCGAGGTATGCTTGTTGTCGTAGCTATATGGCTGAATACTATCTGAATTAAAATAAAAGGAGGTATGCTTACTCACATAAGCAGTCAACCACCTCTGTGAGTACTCACTAAAATGACGTTGCAAAATCTCTGAATATCCTTGCACACTGGCATTATAAGGAAGCTAGTAAAGCACTCCTGGATTTGAACCAGCAGTCGCCTGTCTCAAGTAGGATGTGTGTCAAAGAAACCTAGAATTTGATTGTGAGACCGGCCCAAATGATGTACCACTGCACCATACGGGCAAGTCGATGTTTATGGGATAACCTGCTATCTGGGAATTGAAAACTTGGTACACACAATGCTCTTCGATACGTAAATCTCCTTCCCAAAATCTAGAATTTCGCGCCCATCAAAAATATATCCATCCTCTGGATAATCTTGTACTAATCCCTCTCACGCCCCTGCTAAAGGATTTTCTTCTCAGCTTATGAGCAACGCGTTTTTTCCTCCAACGCTTATAAGTATCGGCGTTGACGTGTATTTGGTGACGAGATGAGGTCAGACAAAGTGGAGAGGTGTGGTCATTAGAATTAGGATGTGCTAGGTCGTACTTGTAGACTTGATGAGGCTTAGGTAGTGGTCGATTTCTTTGGAAGTGGAAAAGTAATGTGGTGAAGTATATTTAATTACTGACTCGTTGGCCAACATTTTCGGTATTGCGGAATTTGATTGAGGGGAGAGGGAGGTGTATTTATTGTACTACTTTAGTCTTAGACTGTGTAGCACACTAGGCTCTTTTCTGACCCAGGCCACACCTTGTACAGAGCTCCTAACCTCTCCTACTACTTGAAAGATCATTGATTTATTGCCCGTGATAAATAGCCATTCAGCTCAGTATTTACCCGTGGAATTCGGCCACCTTTTCCACGGAACCTTCTACCAAAAAAAAAGAAAAAAATGGTAGCAATGGAAACTGCGTGCGCGTTAAAAAGTCTCAAAAAACCGGCAGCCCCAACCAGGCAAGGCTTTGACACCCGGACCACATAAGGTGCGCATATTCATCTATATCTCCCTTCTTAGTAACAGTCGAGGCCGACTTGATCCAATCCGCCATCTCCGTATCGGGTGCTGGGGACGCTCCGGAAACTCTTCAGATGGCTTTTCCTCTATGACCAAGTATGGGCGATGATCAGGACTTCAACCCCGCCATCTGATAATGGTGGTTGGGGGGTGTGTTGAGAGATGAAGACGATACAGACCGCGAAAGCGATCGGGTATCTTCGATGAAATGAGGACTTTGTTACCCAATCTCGGCTCTGCAGATTCGTGAGTGAGAGCTGAAGGTTCGTAGGGGACACCACTGACAGGTGTTGAGAATAATCCCCCATTTACCATGGTAAGTTACATGGATAGTACAGCAACTACCCTTATATGCCTTTGCCATCTTGTACGTAACCACTGCTCGAGATAAGATCTCACAGTTCTCCAGTTCTCGAGTCAGGTAAGTATTCAAGCTACTCAGACTTTGATTCGGGAAGGTGAGGACCAGGGGGTGGATTACAACTCCTTTCATCGTTGGCTGTTGCAAAGTGTCGGCTGCACTATCTGAATCGTAGTCTCGGCGCCCACAAGCATCAAAGGTTGAAAATACTCGAAAAATTAGAATTTCAGCATGCCTATTTGTGACCTCTTCACTTGCTCGTCCCACGTCCCTGCTGTCTGTCTCCCCTCGATATGTAAAATACCATTTGAACAACAATCCACCATAGACCAAGACTCAAGCCTTGTATATTATGACTTAGTTTCCTCCTTGCTGGTATAGGTATCTTCGTAAATTGATCATGGGTGATGGCCGACAATTATTGAGACAAGCTCCTGTTTCAAATTGGAGTAACGCCTTGTCTGTCGTCGAGGCGAGGTGGTGTGTAGTTAGAAAGAGATTAAGGACTCAGAGGATAATGATAACTGCTGCATGATTGAGAATTCGTCAAATGGATATATGCATATATTTGCTTTCGACTTCGATTCGGATGCGATTCATCTTGGTTATCCCAGATATGCAGAGGATACTGAGCGATTACACCAGCACCAATGGTAGA